GTAGGCCAGTAACATACAAAGCTACCACTAAATATCAACAGTTTACATGTTTTCTTTCCAACATAAACTCACCAGTTGATTTCACTGACTAGCTCAACATGCAACAAAAAGCAAGACGGTCAGTGAAACCATCTGCTATAGCTTTTGACTAGAATAAAACCTGCATGTCTTGTTTCTATGTGGTAAGACTGCTCCTTTCTTCTAAAGGCCTTATTTGGTTTCGTTCACGTAACTCACTCTTGGGAAAGTAAAATCTGTTTGTGCTCAAATAAAAGTTTTTTTTTCTAAAGTACAACTAATGACCATGCTAATGACCCGAGCTGGCCAATGTTATGTAAAAATGTACAAATGCAGCCCTCTAGTGGAATAAAATTGTAACCGCTATAATGGCATTTCTGAGAAAGCAGTTCTACAGTCAATAATATTCACATAAATTAGCTTCAATTTTAAAGAAATTAGTACAAACCTTGGTTAACAAGTCAACAAGCCAACAAATAAACTTACCATAAACAACCGGGTATACAGTGCCTCGGATTCCTGAGGCAGGACAATGCATGTTCTTTCCATTCAGGTATAAATTCAGCTCCACATGGTCATATGTGATGCCCTGAGGAATATAGACAAAAATTTAAAACTAATCAATGTGAATATGATTACACATTTAAACCTGGTTTAATTGTCAAAAAGAAACTTTCATATGTATAGCCTGGCTATCCAAAGTTTATGATGAAAACTAGTGGAAGATAAGCATTGAGACTCTTTCCTATTTTCAGTCCAATTCAAGAGGAGCAGGAAAGGCTTGGTTTAGCCAAATAAAATCAAAACCCAAGTATGTATACATTTTGTCCTGCAGTATTCTTTGCCTTCCTCTCCTTCCTGCAGTAACAATGAGACTCTATCAAAGAAGAAAATGTTTCTGACACAAATTGGGATATAAATACATGACATGATTACACATTTTGGTAGATTAAGGATTTCACTACCTGACAACATTTTATTAATATATCATAGACTTTATAAATGTATTATTTTATTATCTGCACATAGAAAATCTGTGTATTACATGTCTTTATGGTGGCCTCTTTTGCCTCTGAAGTGTGTGTGTGTGTGTGTGTGTGTGTGTGTGTCTGTTATCTATCTTGTGGCCTAAATCAGTTAAAACAATCAAAAAAAGACCTTTGTATTGAAAATATGTGTTGAACAAAGTCAGAGCTTGGTTTTGCGAGTCATTGTAAATGATAAAGTGAACAGATGACAATGCATGTGAGTTTTGCACACTGCTCCATGAACCTGCAGCCTATTAGTCATAAACACACACTAATTGCATTGCATATTTGCATGCATGGATCTCAGTGGTGGTAGCATTGTATATTTGAATTCAGGGTGTGATAACAGTTTCACTGGCTAACCTGAATTCCTGATAAAAAATACCTTGTGTCATGATAAAAAAAAATTATTTTGCACAATTACTTAGTTTGCAGTATGACAAGTTCATTGACATGTGCCGGCATACATGTCTTATGTACATTTGCACATGTATATGGTGGTGGTGGTTGTGGGGGTCTGAATACATCTCACAAAAATACAGTACTGCCACTAAAGGACTTAGAGGGTCTCCAAAGTTAGCCAGTGTTAAGTTCCAGTTGTGGTAGCTCTAAGCTGTTTTGGTATCTTCTTTAGCAGAGCCATATAGTGTCATAAAATGAGCATGAGTAAGTATAAATCAAGAAAGCTTTTAGCTCTGGGAGAAAGAAAGAAATGATTTGTCTTATAATAAACAGGTAAAATGTGGCAAACTCCACTATACAGATAATGACACACTTGTTGACACTGACAGGCAGAGGTCGGCATGTTTCTTAAAACAGCTCTCGCATGCCCCTGCTGTGCTTTGTGCTGCAACCACCTGCACCCGTAGGATTTTCTGCTGCACAGACACAAACTGCTCCACAGTCCATTTGTTCCAACCTCAAGTCTGTGCTCATTAACATCAAATTTTACTAAATGAGTTCTGATAGACAAGCTTTATAAACAACTGCAATAATGGCTATTTTAGGGTAATGATAAATCAATCAGAATTTACAACCGAAATTTGGTGTGCATGTGGAAAAATCAACGCACAAACAGAAGGCAATCCAAGCCACATTAGACCATAGGTTTACAATGTGACTGAAGCTGTCAGCCAGCTACCTTGGGGAAAAAACACAAAATATCGATTACTACTGTGCCTCTCAGAGGCCTGCTGGAACAGGCTGGCCCGCAGTACTCCTAATAGATGATTAGTCTTTAGAGGTTGATTAACTTTGTAAATTCACACAATCTAAAGTCATATGCTTGTTGGAAGACCATGAGATAGCTCAATATGTGTACAGACTAGACTGATAAAAAGGAATTCCAGCAAGCATTAGTGCAACTTTACTCTGCACAAAATCGTGTCACTCCCCATGTCAGGCAACACAACCTGTATCTTTGGATTGGAGCCGGTTTCCCTGCTCATGAGTCCAGTTCATTAATAAATTTGGTGTCTGTATGTGTTTACACTTGCCAGTTCTGATTTATTTGACAAGATGAAGATTCAGATAAGAAAAAGTTCCAGCTTGACAAGCAACTTGTAACACTTAAAATATTCAAAGATTTGGTCTCAAACTTCAATTCAGGATCAAATAAAATACATTTTGAACTTACAACAATGTCACCTTCCTGGGGAAGGCTGTTTGCAGGTAGACGATTCTTTTCTTCATTATTGTGGTACACAGACCCATCATGCCTCAGGACTAGGCTGTTTGTGTCTCTGCCCAAAGGCACTTGATTAAGATTCACTTTCTGCGTGGCCACACCTATTCCCCACACACCTAAACACAAAGCACAACACTAAAGTACCTGCTATTTTCAAACACTTTAAACACAAAGCTTAAAACGCATTAATATTTATAACAAAGACCAGCTGCAATAAAAAGTTGGTAGGTGTGATTCACATACATAGCATATTGAAAACTAAATGTTACATAGCAAAACCAGTCTGTGACTAGCGTGAAGCTGCATGAGGGTGGCCTTGCTTAAAGTCTTATGTGGAAGAAAGAAAATATCTCGTGGTTTCAGATGCTGTCCTTGTGAGTAAACAGAATTCCATCAGTTTTCATGCAGTCACAAGATAGTGTAGCTACTAAAAAGTACAGTGTGTCAGAATCAATAACCACCACTAGGAATGCACTAGAAAATGGCAATCTGGAAGGGAAAGAAGGCATGAGAGGTATGAGAGTAGGGTGATCATCAACTAAAAACCAAATGCCTACCGGTGGACTGGATCTTAAACTCAAAGTAACTTTTGTTCTGGTGCAGAGGAGCGTTGGCCAGACAGCCTCCAGTTCCACATATCCTCCTACCACTCTTTACAATGACCACATCTGTGCCTGGAAGAAAAAAAAAAAGAATACATTTTTCAGTTCAAACACATAAAATTCATAAAAGCAATTTTGACAACAGCTGATATTCATTGTTAGCTACTCTGTCAACTATTTCTTGAATTATCAAGGAATTATTTAGTCTATAAAATTTCTGTAAATATTATAAAATCCTTGTCATATTTTCCAAGTGCTCAGCTTCTAACAGTTTGCTTTGTCCAACGAAGGGGATTAATTAAGTATCTATCTATCTATCTATCTATCTATCTATCTATCTATCTATCTATCTATCTATATCTGACTATATGTAGGTAAATGTGTTTCCATATGTGTGAGGGTCTTTGTGAACATATCTTTTTTTAATAATTGAGCCTTTTTTAAGTGAAAACAAATAAACAATAAATACATGACTTTTTAGATCAAAATTGTTGATTCATTTTTTGGTGGTTGGTTTATCTGCTGATTGTGTCAGCATTACACCAATTATTATTGGACAGTATGAATTCTCTGCAGGTGCCATTTGAAAATCCAGATATTCCTCGGGGTAAAGAGGTGGGTCAGTTATTCAAGGGGAGTATTTTAGGTTTATATTCAATAACCAGTTGCTGTATTTCAAAATCAATAATCAACACAATATTATAACAAGTTAAGGCTTCAGTTGCATTTCCCCTGTGAATCCTTGCTTATCTGAGGTTAGGTTAGCTAAGATTAATGAAATACAACTCAGACAAATAATACCTCATGACCCTCAACTCAAAAATATATCTTTCTTATTGTTACTTCCATTGTATGTTTGATCTTCACAGTGTAGAACCAAAGTTTCTGTGTTTACCGTAAAACTGAAGGGATCTTTAAAGTTTAGTTGGTGAAAAACTGAGAAATGTCTATTCTGAAAACTATCACTCATGTCTTTGCAAAAGAGAAGCGGTCAGATTTCCCAGTTTTTCTATTTGTTCGTGTCGCTGCGCCAAGTCGTGTCGTATAAAACAACGCGATAACCTCATGGGCGGTATAGTGACGGTTTGTTTAATAAACACAACTGTCTGCAACCACTCTGCCACAAAACAGTCAATAGCACAGTTAGCTAGCTAGCTAATGGTAACGGCGGAAGTAGCAAACCATCAAGTCACAGACACAACCATGTCGACGTGTGAAGACATAAACTATCTGTACATCAGTTGTGAAAATTAAAGACAAACTCACTTACCCATGTGGTGTGTATCTAACTGAACCGTGGGCATTTCTTTGAGGGGAATATGCCCGGATCCGCCATCTCCGCAGCAGCCTAGACAACACGTAAACATCGCAGCCATTCTTGTCCGATACTAAGCTAAACATCCGGAAACAAACTCATACCATCAAACCAAAGAGCGCTCGCCGTTAAAACGTCAGACTCCCCTCAAACAACAGCGACACACCACGGCAGAGGTCGGAGCTACATAAGCCCCCGCTACCCCACTGTATCCAATCACAGTGGCTAAGATAGGCAGTTGCTCCTGATGGCATGGAAACAAGGGAAGAAAATCAAGGTCAAAATTTCTACACGTGACTAAGTAACTATTGGATATCGAAGTTACATAATCACAAGTGAACAAAAAGTGAGTTTCGGGAGGAAAACATCAAATGTTTAGTAGTGCACAAGTGCTGAATTGCTAATATAAATTGATAAGTGAATAGCACTCTTAGAGGCTGATTTGAACTGGTTGAAATATGAAGCCAATGGTGTTGATGTTTCTAGCCTATCTCAGTTTCTGTTCGCTCACGGTGCGCAGATAATCTGCCACTTGTTTTGTTCAGTGCGACACAGAATTGAAGTTTACTCTTCATACCAGTTGATGCACTTGGGCGCCTTTATCGTGTTAACTGTTTACACATGCATATATTGACAAGTGCCCACACGAGTGACTGAAGTGGGGCAGTATAAAAAGCCTGTGGTGCCAAGCTCGGACTAAAACCTAGTTGACAGTTTTTCACGCTGTAATGTTTTGCATAGCAACAGCCCCTCCCCCATCCAACTGGCAGGGATCCTCTGCAAGTTACCCTGCAGGGACAAAAACGTAAACATCCGTCATGTTCAAAATTAAACTGTCGAATAAATCGAAATACCAGTAGCTTTCATATTGATGGCATCATATCGCGCTCGTGGGTGTACGTGTGGGCAAATACCGAGGAAGCAGCGTATCTTAATTTTCTGTGCGCCACTGAAACAGTTAACTCCATACCCGGAAAGGGCGAAGTCTGCACAGCAACAAGCGCCATGATTGCGTTGCACTGTGCGTCTCAGCAGCTGGTGAGTGATTCTTTTGGTCCAGTAGTTGCATGTTACTATGCGCTTGCAAAATCTGTCACAGCCCTCCTTCAGTACCTTGCCAACAGGAGCAACGCAAACGTGAACCCTGTTTGTCGCTAATTTGTCGCATTGGATTGGTTAGGCGGCGATAATTTAGGATTCATCACAGCTAACCACCGTCCTGCTACTCTGTAATACAAAGCTAGGAGAAAATCGTCTGTAAAGTTATCATTGATTTTGACTTATATTCAGCTTGGTTTTGCGACGAGGTTTTATGTTTTTTTTTTTTTTTTTTTTTTTTTTTTTTTTTTTTACAACGCCAGCTGGTTAGAGAGACACCAAACACAGGATGTTACTTAACATTAGATTGGCAAACGGAGCCTTTGGCAGAGCGCCTGTCAGCCTTTTGCGCGGGTACAGCAATGCAAGTCAGTTTCACTTTGAGGATGGGAATACACCAGACACAGCTGGAACATGACTGCAAAATCTGTATCCTTTGTGATGCTACAGCATTTTCGTGTGTAATATATTGCTGCTGCTCCCTTACGTGGCAGCATCTCCGAGTGTGAGTGCGTATTATGTAGTCTATTTTATGAAGTGTTGATTTATTGCTCTTTTATTTAAATTGGGCAACGATTTGACGCCTGGGTAATGTGTTTACAGGATGCCATGGAGCAGCTAGAAGAGGAACTTACCTGCCCAATCTGCTGCGGTCTCTTCGAGGACCCACGGGTCTTGCTGTGCTCACACAGCTTTTGCAAGAAATGCTTGGAGGGACTCTTGGAAGGAAACCGAGGTCCAGCTTTCAGAACACCTTTCAAATGCCCCACATGCCGCAAAGAGACCCCTCACAACGGCGCAAACAGCCTGCAGATCAACTACTCTCTGCGCGGAATAGTGGAGAAGTACAGCAAAATAAGGGTTCTGCCTAAGATGTCTGCTTGTAAACAACACTGCGACCAGCCTCTTAACATATTTTGCGCCACGGACTTAAAACTAATTTGTGGGTTTTGCGCAACAACAGATGACCACAAAGGGCATAAATTCTGCTCCTTGGAGGAGGCATATGACCATGAGAAGGAGGCGTTTGAAGAGCTGTTTCACGGGGTGGAGAGCTGGCAGAGTGCAGATATCCTGTCCTGCCTGGAGACACTACAAACCAGTAAGAAAAAGGCTCTTCAGTCCGTGACCAAGGACGCAGAAAAGGTAACAGACTATTTCGACAAGCTCATCAGTGCACTTGAATGCAAAAAGAATGAGATCCTCTCCGATTTTGAAACACTGAAGCTGGTGGTGATGCAAGCATATGACCCGGAGATCACCAAGCTGAGCGCAGCACTGGAAGAGCAGAGACTGGCGCTCAGCATCGCGGAGTCTTTCAGGAGCGTCTCCGACCCCTTGTGCTTTCTGCAGCAGATGCAGGAGTTTCGGGAAAGATTACAGGTCCTTAAGGAGACTCCCCTGCCCTCCCGGAAAGAGATGGACGTCGGCCCCCTTGTGCGCAATTTCGATGTAAAAAAGTGGGATTCACTAAGGCTCAGAGACGTGGACAAGATCTCAGTCCCCCATGAGAATGGCTCGTACAGAGTGGGGGGCTCACGGATGGCAGCGCCTCGGTGGATCACCTTATTTATGAGTTTGTTGCTGTCAACTCTGCTCCTGCTGCAGCCGCACAACCTTACAGCCTGCGTAACCTCTCAGATTGAACCATTTCTTACTACAGTTTCCTCGCACCTCAGCCACACTGCTGTGTACCTGCGGGAAATGACTGACATGTGCACAAGTTTAATGAGCGCAGGCCAGGAATGTGTCGTGCACTTAATTGACTCTACTGTCAGTTTTATTGGCAGTTGTAAGTTGTTTTAATTACTAGCCTGTGGCATCTCACGCACTCACAGCTACAAATTGTTTCCAAAGTGACCCGCGTGATGCACAAAAGTGGTGACAAATATGCACCTGAGCATATGTAAACATTTGTTTATCTAATTGTTTATTATGTCTTTTGCTCTTTTTTGCTTAACCTCTCTGAAGCCACAGAATCAATCATTCATTCAGAGATTGAAGCCTTCATTTACATAGGACAGACACTAAATCACACTTCTTTCCACAAATGTGCGATCTATTCTTAATACGATGACACTTTTATACTTCTCCAAGATGATCTTGATAAATAAAACTGAGAAATGTAAGACACATCCATGTTTGATTTTTTATTTAGTGTAACAGGCCAAATCAGACATCTATTTAGGAACCGTGGCGAGCCAGTGAACTACGCAAGTGAGTAATTAAAGAAGTATACAGTGTAATCTATGGCCTCTTCCCCGCAGAGCGCGTCCGCACCAGTGATGCTGCAACCTCTTCAAGGTTACAAACGTTGCATAACAGGGCCCGTGTGAAATATTCAGCAAGCTGCAGACACGGTGCGAGAGGTAAAAAAGAACACGGCCCCGTGGTGTTATGTTGTTTTCATGAAATCTAAAAAACTGACAACTGCATTTCTTCTACCCAATGATAATACACCTTATATAAGACTACATGATTGACACGCGTACTCGGCAGTCACTTCATTTCTGCACAAAATTTACTTGCGGAGGTTCATGCGAGTCATTCGTAGCACGACTTGTTCCGGTCTATAAAGTCAAACATTTGCAGGATGTTAAATTAAAAGTATATTTTCTACCATCTTAATATGAAGGAAACGTGATTTTAAGCCTAAAATCAAAGTGCAATTATGCAGGCAAATTGAAGTTCTTAAAGTTCTTTTAAATTAGGGTTTGCTCAGTGAAATCTTTGGCTTATCACCAACTGTGGTCTTCATTAAAGTAGGTCGGAGCAAACGGACAAACAATGAATTGTACATTGATCATGTAACCTTTTATTCATTTATTCCCCTGAGCATATGCATTTTGAAAAAAAAAAATAAATACATTTTTAAAAATCCTAAGATCAGACCACAAAGTGAATCCGTGATGTCAGCACTGACCATAATTCAGGATGTACGTCATGACACGCTGGTACATATATAGCCTTCTGTTGCCAGGCAAATATAGGATGAAAATAAAAGTACCACACCGCATTAATATTTTAATTGTGACTGCACGCAAATTTAAATATAGCCTTACAAACGTTAACTCAAGCCAAATCAAAAGAAACTATTGTGAATAACGGTGTATAACTAAGACTTTTCTGAAAAATGATCATTAAGCCATGGCGCACGGTCAGACACTTAAATATATGTGGGCCTATGGTGAGGGTTAATCAAAATAAACTTCAAGTCACCATGTGCACGTGACTAAATGAACAAATAAGCGAATAATATTTATCCGTGTCTGATCACATCCCTGGATCAGGTCCCACACCCTTATACACTGTGGGTCTTAGTGTGTGATGGTAATTTAAGTAAAGAACTGTTTAATGATTAAACAGCTTATTCAATATAATCTACTATTGTTATAATATTTTTGACATAGAAAGCATTTTTCACATTTTCTGGAAAGTATGGTTGCAAAGAATACAAGCGCAATCAAATCCTGTGGGTGACTATGCTATTGAGTGAATAATTGTACAATTGTTCAGATAATTAAAATATTCACGACCTACATGAAGGTTGGTAAAAATGGCACAAAATGTGAAAGTTAACAGGTGTAAGACAAAATGTGGACCTTCGGACATCATCAAGACTGTTTCCACATTTTGATGTGCGGTGTGCGGAGTCAGCAGCTTTCCTAAATTCGCGAAATAATCCAACATACTTCAGATTTAAATCACAGTATTTAGGAAATGATTTAAGAATTTACAAAATTATTGATGGATTACTTTGATGCTATTAATTCTCTCTCTCTCTCTCTCTCACACACACACACACACACACACACACACACTCACACACACACACACACACACACACACACAGTATCTTCAATTTCAAAGTCCACCTTGTACCCATTGCGTTATAAAATAAGGCATATTATTGTATTCAGGCTTATCCTCCTATAACAAAACGCCCGGATGTTAAAAAATATATATTTGATATAAATTTATTTTCCATTTCCAAGCAGCCTTCCTACTTAGAAAAAAAACTTTTTTTGCCAAATCCCGTAATTTAGTTATAATTAGTTTATTTATAATTATAGTTGCACAAACAAATCTAAGAATTCAGAATCAATAAAAAGGCCCACAAGGCCAAATGGAAGAAAACCGATGCAACGTAGGTTTGTTCAGTATACAGCAAAATATCACTGGGCCTTAAACTTGTCAGAAAAAAAAGCATGGCCACCGTGTAAAATGTTATCACTAAAGTAATATTCTGTAACACGTTTATTTATTTCAAATATTTTCATCAAAAACCAAGGTCGGCTCTATACGACTTCGTAAACAGGTGTAACCACTTCTCAGCTTCTTCTCTCCACCTATCTGATTTTGAAGTGTTTTATTTTACCCTGCGAGTTCACCTGCAGCTTGCAGTCCAAATTTTTACAAAAGCCAGCGATTTATTCCAAAAGCCCGTAAAACATGAATGTAGTGATTTTTATTAGGTACGTCTGATTTGGGATTATCGTTGTCGTCGGATGTCCTGGTACAGAGATGCCTACATGGCTATCACATGCGCTTAAAATGGAGGCTTTCAGCAGTGACAGGACACCATATAATGTGTCTCCGCACTGCAAAGAATATATCATCATAGGGTTGTTGGCATAAGGCCGACACAATATACAATGTAAAGCGACTGCGTCGTTATGAGCGACAAAATAGATACCAAAGACGATCAGGGCAATCGGGCCTTTAAGAGAAGAAATCGGTCTTATAAATATCTTCAACAGAAAAATATATTGACTTGAATATTTATATATATTTATATTTTGATATTTCAGAAAGAATTCTGGCGTATAGTCGACAATAAAATGACTGTAATGATTTTAATCCGCAGCAAATCTGTCTGTGAACATGTTGAACAGGCCGCCATTCCAGTAGCGCTGCATCAAGGCCACGCAGGCCAGTGTGCATGATTTCTTCTTTGTGGATGGCAGTGCTACTTAAAACCATGTTAATTATTTTCAGTGTCAGCAAAACTAACACTTTTAAGTATTACTTTAAAAGAAAACCAATACTAAATGCATGGCATTCAGTAAAAAAAAGTTTAGTCATGTTCAAAACACATTACAGACAAAACCCCATTTAAAATTTTATTTTTGCAAGTGTGCAGACATAACAATGAAATGTAAAAATATGCTGTATACATATTTTAACTATCAAAACAATATCGTATTGAAGGTTAACTCAGAATGTGTGAGTAAACAATGTACCTGTGAGCATCTCTTAAGCAAATCCACTGTCTTAACACCACCAGGGTTGATCAAACTTCACACTTGGTCAGTTGCACTGATCGTGAGTGGTCAGCTTTGCTTCAGCAGCACGATCAATACTGGAGGTTTCAGCTAGTCTTAACTCCAATATTTACGTGCTGCTACAGTAAAGCGACCAGTAAATGAGAAGGATAAATTTACTATCAGGAAAACAGCTGACTATGTGACATTAATTCAGACAGTGAAGACTACTGTGTATGCAAGAGTGATAGTTAACAACAAACTTCAATCACTGAACAAAGGCAGCACGTTAAAGAACTGATAGGTGGCAGCCAGGTTGTACATTCAGGCTTTACTGCTGCAGCACAGTATGGCCTGCATCTCTGTGTAACCCACAAACCATTCCGTGCTGCTACAGCATTGCCAGAACTGCAGTCATGGTCCCTCCGCTTCCAGCTCTTCTCATCTACTGTGTTGTTTGCACTCTCTTCATCTTCCAGGCTTCAAGTCCTTACCATATGTTCACAGATGGGTACAGACTTATCACCTATCGTTTATCTACCTAAAGGACGTTCAGATGATCATCAGCATCTTTTGCAGATCGAAGTCTCCTGTCCACTCCGAAAGCAGGCAAGGAGGCTCTCCAACTGAAACACACACACACAAAATATAGTAGATGTTAATTTAATTCTGAGGTCAGCCTGTCAAAATTGATTATTAACAATAATCCAAGTGCACCATATAACCAAAGGTATATGCTGTATCAGCCTCCACTCTTCTGAGAAAACTTTTCACAACATTTTGGAATCTGGCTGCAGAGATTTACACATATTTAGAAACAATGTGAGGTTGGACACTGATGTTGGGTGATAGGTCAGGGCTCTCTGGTGGACAGTTCTTCCAAGATCAGAAAACCATTTCTTTATAGATCTTGCTTAATGCACTGTGGCATTGTCAAATGTAAACAGTAATGGGCCTTCCCACAACACTTGAAGCACAGTTATCTACAATGACATTGTATGCTGTACCCAGATATGGGTAGGGTTGTCCACATTCTGGCCATTAAGATCCTGTTCAGACCTGGCATTAACATGCTTCTTGAGTGATCCCATCACAAGTGGACAGCTCTAAGTACAGGTGTTCACGCACCCAAGATGCATTGAGGAGTCAACTGAGATCCGATCACTCAGACCACATTTGGTGGTGGTCTGGAGTGTGAACGCAAATGTGTCCTGGGCCACATTGAAGGACCAGCTACTCAACTGCAGTCCTCTGTCACAGTCACGTGACTTGAGTCACTGTCACAATTTATCCAACTACAGCTTCATAATGAACTGAAAAACACTTTTACACATCCCAGTGCTTCCCATCATATAGATTTGTGGTGGCCCGCCCCGTCTGTCATAGTTGGACTGGCTAACAACAATGCGTTTGGTTTTTACTTACACAGAAATGATGTACAGGGAGGTGAGATCTGAGCACAAGTGGACACTCAAGAGGCATCTTAATGCCAGATGTGGACTGATGTACTTAAAGCTGTCCACTTGTGATCATCCAAGACACATGTTAATGCCAGGTCTGAGCAGGGCCATAGTGCACTGAAGCAATTTCATATTTTAAGTCGAAGAATTTGTGCAGACTCCTTTTCCAATACAGTTGAACATTACATGTGATTACATTTTAGTACAAACAGTAAAACTATGTGACGTTTAAAATAATCCCATTTTTGCCAAAAGCAAAAGCTGCAAAACTATAACTTAGAAGGAAAGACTGCATTCGCCAATTTGAAAATGGTTTAGTAGCATAGGTGACGTTACAAGACTAAGGCAAAAAATAAATAAATTTACTAATCATACTGGTCTGTGTCAGCTAGGAACTATGAAAACAAGTGGTTGATGGAGAAAAAAAAAAAGCCAATCTATACTTTGCATGACTCAGAATTAAATCACGTTTTCTAAAAAGTAAGTGTACCTCTATAACACTGTGGCATTTTCATGTTTAGTAGCACACATTAGAACTATTAACAGATGTGACCAGATTTACAAATATGGTTACTGGTCAGAGGGATAGTGCAGTATCTCATTCAGTGGATGAGCACTTTTAGGTTCAAAGATAATTACTACTCCATTGCACTCAGCTAAGTGCTCACCCAACAGAAACCACTGTATATAAGCCAAAACATATATACGTATAAAATAGAAAACAAAAGTGAAAAAATGACCCCACACATGGAAAACAGCAACTGAAAAATAGAATTAGTCTACTGGAGGAATCAATAAACTGCCATAAAAGGTACCGCTTCCAAATACAACAAGAATGTGTCAACTTTTATAGTAAGATGTTTTAGGTTATCCTGGGAAACATCGACCAAATTTTGAGAATCTAAAAACCAAATCTTCTTTAACAAAACCTTGTTTTTATGCAAATATGTTAAGAAACTGTATCCTGATAATAATCCTGTAGGTGATGGGGTCCAACGATTGTGTTGCCACTAGAGGTCTCAATGGACCTGTAATTATTGTGACCTT